TGTCCCCGGTGCCCGGAGCCGCGGGGCGAGCGGGACCGTGGGAAAATAGCCCCGGTGTGCGCCGTGCCGGGCAGCAGGGGGGATTCAGCCCCCCACGGGGCTCCACGAACACGTGGGGATGAGCGTGGACCACCGTCCCCACTGCGATTGCCCGCTCCGCGTCCCACGGGCCGGCGGGGGGGCTTGCCCGTCTCTCCGCCGGTGCTCCCCGGTAAAGCAGAGGGAGGAGAGCCGGGGGGGTTCACCGGATTCGTGTGTGTGTGTCCCCGCTGCGGGGCCGCCCTGCTGGCCCACAGCCCGGATCGGGTCCCCGTGGGGAAGGGGGCGGCGGGCCAGCCCCGGGGGTCACGGCCCTCGCTGCCCCGGTCCAGTTAAAGATTGTCCAGGTTCGCGTGAGAAGCCGCCGTGCCCTCTGTCACCTCCTGTCGCCTGGGGACAGAGTGGCCCGGGCGTGGGGATGGGGCAAGGGGTGCAGCCGGAGATGGGGGGCACGTCGAGGGCGATGCCCCGGGGACCAAGACGGGTGTCACGCAGAGTTTGCAACTGCAGCCCCCTCATCCCCGGTCCCCGTGGGGTGACAGGCCAGGACCTGCCCTTCCGGGAGGACAAGGGGGACCAGCCCGCAGCCCAAATCTCACCCCCTCCACTCGCATCCCTGTCTCCAGCCCGGCCACAGCAGGATGGAAGAGGGGCCGGGGGGGTCCCGCCCCACCGGGGGGTCCCAGAGGTGGCACTGGGGACATCGCGTGCGAAGGGGCTCCGGACAGAGCTGGTCACTTACAGTCACGCTATGGGTGGGTGTGTGGGGGGAAATGCCTTTTAAAGGACCAGGGCGGTGGCCCCGTGTCCAGGAGCCTGGCCCGGGGTCAAGGCGGCGCCGGAGCAGCTTGGGATCAGCCCCCCCGGCTGGCTGGGGGTGGGGGTGCGGTCCCCAGCACCGGTTACACCCTCGGCTTGGTCCCCTCTGCCACGGGATGCGGCCATCACCTGCAAGGGGACAGCAGTCCCCCCTGCCACACATGTCCCCCTTGGCAGGATCCAGGCGTCCCAGCCCTCTCCCACCACGGGGAAGGGGGAAGAAGGTGGTTTCCCACAGTGCAAAGGGGGGGTCTCAGTCATGCCACGGCGAATGTTCCCTTTGGGGTCCAGCGGACACCGAATGGTGCCCCTGGCTGCTCCAACTGTCCCAGACAGGGCTGTCCGATGTGCTGTGCAAATGCCCCCCACACTGCCTTTCCCCACAGCTCGGGAAGGGGACTGCTTGGGACACGCGGACCACACAGGACACATTGACGTGTCCATAAACCCCAGGCGGAGATGTCTCCACGCACGCTCGCACACACCGTGGCACCTCATAAAACACGCGCAGGCACCCACGCCCACAGCTCCCGGCGAACCCAGGTCCCTCCTGTCGTGCGTGAGGCTGGAGTGTGTGCATTCACCCCATCTATATGTACACCTATACAGGTGTGTTGCTGCACATACAGGCTGCACACACAGGTCGCGCATACAGAGCTGACGCGCATCCATGCTCTCCTGCAGTGCATGTGTGCGCATTTTAACACATGCCTGGTCCAATGCACACAAACACGCTATATGTTTCTTATATACGCATAAATAACTCACTTGCCTGCAAATGCACAGCACATTTATGCTCTTGTGTGTATGTATTTGCACGTGTTCACGTACACACGTGCTCTGCCATGCGTGCACATGCCTGCAGGCACCATCGTCCTCTTGTTCACGTATATCCTTGCACGCACATGCTGGCACGACCATATACACTAACAAACCCACAGGCACGCAGCCGGGATCCTCCCCGGAGCAGTGACCCACAGAGGGAAGCACGGCGCATCCGTGTGCGCTCACAGGCGTGTGCCAGCCCTGCCAAGGGCAGGGGACTGCCAGTGGCCCTCCAGCTGCCCCCGTGGCCAGCGCCGGGGAGCTGAGGGCTCAGCGAGGGGCGGTGGCCGGGGTGGGAGCCCAGCGCTGGGTGAGGATGTGTTTGGGGCGTGAGGCTGCCTGGCACGCAAGGCAGCAGCTCTTAACGCTGTTCTCATCAGGAGGCACCCAGCCCTTTCAGGGCTTGGCAGCGAGCACGGAGCAGGCTGGGAGGGAGGGGGGGGAGCAGGGAAGGGGATGGGATGGGAGGGTGCAAGAGGGGCAGGTAGGTTCTGGGAAACCCCTCTGGGGTTCCTGATGCAGCCCCAGGACCCTCCCCAGCTTCTCCAGCGCTTTGGGATATGATGGATCAGGAGAGGCTGATGTGAGCTCTCCATCAGTGCAAGGCCACCAAGGTCCCAACTGCCTGGGGGGCATCAATCTGCCCACCCCCGTGCAGTGGAGCCAGGTAGATCCATAGGGATGGGAGATGACTACTGGATCCAGCCCGCGAGACAAGCTCCACATTGCCCTGCTGCTGTGAAACCCCAGCCTGCCTCCCCAAAAGTGCTCCCAAGCATCTTCCTCACTGGGAGGCATCGCCTGGCAAAGCAGGGGCTGGTAGGTCTGCGAGGTGCCTGGCAATTACCAGAATGAATATTCACAGCAGGGGTTTTGTAACTGTTCTTGCCAAGCGTTAATGAATAGCATCATTGCTATTAATGAGCCCGATTAGACCAGATGTTGAAAGCCTTTATTAAATATTAGCTCAGCTTTTACCTGGGCCAAATTCCCACTGTAGTTTTCAAAGACTGAATGAAACTTAGGGCTGAACCCCAAAGCTCTGGCTCATTCCTTATGGCTAATTAATGTTCCCAGCTCATCCTGGCTGCACTTCTGAAAGCCCTGAATTTTGCCCCAGTTGGAGCAGCAGCCCATCTCCTGTGGATCTCTGCCACATCTCCTGCCAAGTGGCACGCTGTGTTTTTGGAGGGGTGAATTGCCCCAGCCTTGCCATGCACTGCCCCTTTCATCTCTCCTATCTCTCCAGCTCACCTCCTCCCCTCTGCCCCGCCACTCCTCTCCCTCGCTGCCTATTTGCCACGGAGGAGCTGGGGGAAGCGAGCCAGCCGCCTTCTCACGCAAACCTGGGCAATCGTTAACCTGAGCCTGGCTCTGCTGCTGGGCCAGAAGGTCCTGCCACCACCAGTCCCAAAGCACGGGGATATGCCGGATGATTCCCTGGGGATGGAGAGGGCTGTGGCCACCTATGCTTTGCTGCAAACACATCCCCTCACTGCTGGAAGCAGCCGGAGCCTGCAGCTCCCCGCACCTTCCGAGTGGCCATGGAGGTGACAGCCCTCTCTGTGTGCTGGGAACAGCCTGGTCAGCCCAGGAAAGGTCTTTGGGGGAAATGCTGGCACCCACATCCCATGGGGCAACGATGCTGAGAGCGTGTCCTCCATCCTCCCGAGGGCAGGTCTTAGGGACCCCCTTCTGCCTCCCTGACCTGGGCTCTAGGGCAGGCACATGCCCTGGGCAGGGGGGAGAAGTCACCGTTTGTCCTCCAGAGCCTGTTGGAGCTGAGGAAATATCTTCCCTGGCTTCTTGGGCTGTCTCCAGCCAGGCTCGGCCCCGTTTGTTAATGGGTAGCTATCCCCCAGGGCTTTCGTACCGTGACCTCCCAGAGATAAACACCCGGCCCTACGATGAGGGGAGCACATATAAAGCCGTGGCTTTCCAGGCGGCAGGAGAAGAAGGTCCAGGCAGCAGGAGAAGAAGGTCCAGGTGGCAGAACAGGATCCCCTCTGCTCCCCAGGGTGGGCAGCTGCCGACAACCTCTGCCTATCTTTGCTGGGAGCCACAGGCAGTAAAACGAGCCCTGTCTATCACAAGGACCTGCAGGTAGGAGACAACGTGTGTGTGTGTGTGTTTTTGAACATGGATATATGACTGGGAAGGTCATATTTGCGTCTGAAGGAGAAATTCATGCACCAGGCTCTCCCCTCCCTCCCCTGCCCACCCAGCAAGCCATGCGTTCCTGCAGGGCAGCCCCATGGCATACCCGCTCCCTGTGCCCCCACGCACCGGTGGTCACCCAGCAGATACAGCCTCCTGGCTATAAATCCTCACATATTTGGTGGACATGGGGCCAGCTTCATTGAGGAGTTGCTGTTCCTCTCCTCCTGCCTCCCTGCACTTTTTTGAGCTGTGGTTTTCTGTGCCTTGTTGCAACAGACTGTCTCCCCTCGGCAGGAGCCATGGCTGTGCCAGCAGGTGCTGGGTATTCTGCAGGGGAAGGGGTGCCCTCAGAGGCTTCAGGGGGGCTGGGGTCCCCCTTAAGCGATGGGTATGTTTGGAGTCTTTATAGGTCTCCAACTTTTGTCCCTTGAAAGCCCCAAAGGGCTTCACAGGCAGCTCCATCACCCTGAACTGTTTAAGGGCACTTGGTGCCCTTTCTCACCATCAGGAACATCTGCAGGACTCAACCTCTTGCTAATTCTGGCTCTTCACCACGCTTCTGGTTAATTCCTTTATGGTTCCTACATGCCAGCAGTGATGAAGGCTGTGATGTCGCTGGTGGGAAGCCAAGGCATTGTCTCAGCCACCGAGGTCCTCCTTGCAGCGGCTGCCTTCTGCCTGGTCTTCCTGCTTATCCAGTCCCTCCGGCTGAGCCAGAAGTATGGGGACGTGATGGAGGTCAGGATTGGCACCCGGCCCGTCCTGGTGCTGAGCGGGTTGGACACCATCAGGCAAGCATTGGTGAAGCAAGGAGAAGAATTCATGGGGCGCCCTGACCTCCACAGCTTCCGATACATTTCAAATGGTCAGAGCCTGGCCTTCAGCCCAGACTCAGGGGAGGTGTGGAAAGCCCGCAGAAAGCTGGCCCAGAATGCCCTGAAGACCTTCTCCATCACCCCCAGCCCCACCTCCTCTTCCACCTGCCTCCTGGAGGAGCATGTCTCCAAGGAGGCCAACTACCTGGTCACCAAGTTCCTGCAGCTGATGGATGAGAAGAAGAGCTTTGACCCTTACCGGTACCTGGTGGTCTCTGTGGCCAATGTCATCTGTGCCATGTGCTTTGGCAAGCGTTACGACCACAATGACCAAGAGCTGCTCAATATAGTGAATGTAAGTGACCAGTTTAGTGACGTGGCTGCTTCTGGCAACCCCGCTGACTTCATTCCCATGCTCCAGTATCTTCCCAGCCGCACCATGAGTTTATTTAAAGATTTCAACAAGCGATTCCTCCATTTCCTGCAGAAGATTGTCCAAGAGCACTACGAGACCTATGACAAGGTAAGAGCTTGCAGTTACCTGCACCAGAGATGTGTCCCTGCTCTCTGCCCCTCTCTATTAGCAAGTTGTTTTTCTTCTTGCAGCCAAGCATCAATGGACATCTATGTTCTTGCAGGTATTGCTGCATGTAGCAAGTCCAGCTGTAGTCTCACTCACCTGTAGTCTTCTCCAAGGTCTTTTCCAACCTAAACGATCCTATGATTCTATGTGCAGTCCAGTACTGCAGTCCTCCTTCTCCTCCACAGCCCTGTATGACAGGGCCAGTTTGTTGGTTAAACATCTGATCTGTGCCACAGGTTACCTAGAGAACCATATCCTTGTTTTCATAGGTTGCAAAAGCAGTAGGGACCATGGGAGCTGAAAGATGATGTTCGCCAGCGCTCATATGACCCTGGGCTCCCCCAGCATCAGGTTGTTGCTCAGTAACACTAATTCCTCTGCTGGTTCTGCTGCCATGACTTGCCTTCTCTTCCTCTCAGAACAACATCCGAGACATCACTGACTCCCTCATTGAGCAGTGCCTGGAGAAAAAAGTGGAAGCAAATACTGCCACGCAGATTCCTAAAGAGAAGATCGTCAATCTTGTGAATGACCTCTTTGGAGCAGGTATCTTTTCCCACCAGTCCCTCAGCTACTACAGATCTTCTCAGGCTCCTCATGTTACAGCTCTGTCTGACCCATCTTTGTCCAACACCAGGCAGCCAGTTTGGGTCTAAGCACTCGTTCTCCTGCTTACTGGTCTTCCTGGACCTTCCAGGGACACCCCTAGAGACCAGCATGGCCAAGGCACGTGCCCTGCGTGTTGTACAGACCTCATCTACATGCTTTCTTCTTTGACCAGGCTTTGACACCGTGACAACTGGCCTGTCCTGGAGCCTCATGTATCTTGTGACGTACCCCAACATCCAGAAGAGGATCCAGGAGGAACTAGGTGAGTCCATGAACCTGCTTCTCCAAGGGCTAAAACCTCTCTGGCGAAGGCTGACCCCAACCCACTGCCTCCTCTCGACCTCCTGCAGACCAGACCATCGGCCAGGAGAGGAGACCGAGGCTGTCAGACCGGGGCATGCTGCCTTACACAGAAGCCTTTATCCTGGAGATGTTCAGGCACTCCTCCTTCCTGCCCTTCACCATCCCGCACAGGCAAGTGCTGAGGTTGCAAAGGAGGTGGAAGGGACAAGGTGGACTTGAGGCATCTTGTTACAGCCATGCCAGCAGCAGTGTGGTGAGAAGCAGGGAGATTATTATCAACTTGTAGAAAGATGGCTTCATCATGGACACAGGGAGCTCACAGTTCTTGTGCAGGGCAATGTGGGAGCTCCCAAAGAGCAATCCTTGCCTTCCACTGACTTCACTGAAGATACTCCACCTGGCTCAAGTAAGGGTTGCCCAATCCAGCTCACAGACAATGCAACTCCCCCTCATAAAGCCATCTCTTTGGGCCGCATCGTTACTTCAGCAGCATCAGAAGAGCCTTTTTGCTTCCCGAACTCTCACAGTCATTTCTCTCTCCAGCACGACCAGGGACACGGTGCTGAATGGCTACTACATCCCAAAGGACCGCTGCGTGTTTGTCAATCAGTGGCAAGTGAATCATGATGAGTAAGTACCTTCAGAGGCAGAAAGCCTCTTGCAGAGACATGCAGTCCCCTTCCTGCACAGTTATCTTCCTGGGCATATGTGGGGTCAAACCTGCTTTAAGAGAAAAAGGAGCAGGTGAGGTATCTACTATATTCAGGGATATTCTTACTGACAGCTCCCCCTGATCCCGCTGAGCTGCCACCTTCCAGTGTCCTCCTACACCCATGGCCAGGAGACACCATATTAGCATCTGATGTTTTCCCTTCCAGGAAACTTTGGAAGGATCCACTGACCTTCAACCCGGAGCGTTTCCTCAATGCTGAAGGGACCGAAGTGAATAAAGTGGATGGGGAGAAGGTGCTGGTTTTTGGCCTGGGGAAAAGGAAGTGCATTGGGGAACCCATTGCCAGGTGGCAGGTCTTCCTTTTCCTGTCCACCTTGCTCCAGCAGCTGGAGTTCAGCGTCTGTGATGGCAAGAAGGTGGACATGACGCCTCTCTATGGACTGTCCATGAAGCACAAAAGATGTGAGCACTTCCAGGTCAAGCAGCGCTTCCCCATGAAGAGCATCAACTGAGCAGTGGGCTTATCCATTGCCCAGACATCGCCAGGGGGCAAAGACCTGGGTGTCCTTGTAGCAAAGCTGGGTCTGGTACAAATTTCTGGGATGATACAATAAACTGAAGCCATTGAAACTCCTGTCTTGTCTTGTTTACTTTGCAGCATTTCTTGCCTTTTTCATTTTCCAGCATTTCTAGTGTTGGATATTCCATCAAATGTTGGATATTCCATCACATCTAGTCTTAGTACCACAAAGCACATTTATGGGGTGTGTGAACTGTGTTTTGCTAGAGGGAAAGGGAATGTACCCAAAACTAGATGGCCTGAATATCATTGGGCTGTATTCTTTTAGAATCGCTCTTTGATAGCTGAAGGACAGCCAACCCATGCCATATTCCCGCAGCCTGAATGAATGTTTAAGATCTTGGCTGAAGTGATGCCCAAAGCTTGGGTGGAGGTGAGGATGATGTTGTTGAGGTCCAGCCAGTATCACTATTTCCAGACTAGTCAGGGGACAAATTTTCACTGGCTGCAATTTACCTTCACTGTAGATGTGTCTGCAGGGAAACAAACCTTGGAAATCTTGGAAAAATGCTAATGCTTTTCCAAGTCCTCTAAGGACAGCCTGGTCCCTTGTTTCACTATGTTTTTAATTGCCTAGCTGACTTGTCATGTCACTCCAAGATCCCATTCAGGAGAGGTTTATCTTTGTCCATAGAGGACCTCAAAGCACTTTAGTGCCTCTTTGAGAATCTATCAGACAACCTTGCACCAGCGGTCCTCCTCCTGCTCAGATTACTTTCTTCAGAAAAATGAGAGGGATCCTTCAAATGAACTGAGCTGGAGGAAAGCCTCCCTGGAGGAACCAGTGTGTTGGAGGATTTCAGCCACCTTAAGCTTAATTCATTACAGTCCCTGCTGGCCCTGAAGGACACAAGGAAGGACACCTTTACCCCTCCCATCACTGTAGTCACCAGGTGTTTCTATGCTGGGCCAGTGATGGCTGTGAAGGGTTTGTGTCTTACCATGACTGCAATGGCTGTCAGTCCCACTGTGCACCTGGCACGAGTTTTGCAGTCCACCTGGGGTGAGAAGATCCACCAAGCCCAACAGCCAGACCCTTGCTATTAAGAAAGTCAAGCTGCTGGTATTCTGGGCTGGAGCAAGAGTGTTTTCACAACGAGGCAGAGAAAGAGAACAGGACTTTCTCCAACTGAAACACAAGAGTTTACATTGGCTGCCAGTCAACCCACACCAGCAGAACCAGATGCCTCCTTTTCTTCAACTTGCATGCAAAGACATATTAGCCAACCCAGTACCTAGCAAGCAACGATACAGGAACAAGTATAACCATCCAGTGCAACACGCACTGCTCTTGAATCTGTTCCCATGGGTGGCATCTGCTCAGCCATAGCCCCAGACCCTGACCAATGAGAGCTCCTTTCAGGTCTGAATACCAATCACTCATCATGCATTGCACAAAATCTTCCAAGAAGAGGCAGAAACGAAAGAGTGTGTTGGGGAAGAAAATGGGGAAGCTGATTGCCCAAGACTTCAGGGAGATTCCAGCTAGAGCAGGGAGGTGTTCAGACCCGCTGAACAAGCCTGAATGAAAAGGAGTAGCTCTGTATGTCCAGGTCCCACCTGGTCACCAATTTGTGATGAAACATTGAGATGATACAGCCTCAGACCCACCTGAATTCACTGAATCAGCCTGAGCAGCCTCACTCCATGTCACACCGGCTTCGTCTTCACCACTCAGTGTCATAATCCCAATATTGCAGGAAAAACAAGGGCGAGGACCGGGAGGTCCAAACCATGGTTTGAGCTGCAGGCCATCAGAGGCCTTGGAGGAAAAGTGGAAGGATGGTCTAGGACAACCCATGAGGTCCATCAGCCAAATAACATCTCCCCTACCTATGACAAGGGCCATACATCAAGGCAATAGAGTCATGAACCACCTTTCCACAAGGGGCATCCCAAAGCTCATTCCTGTACTGCAGGGGAAGGCAGAATCATCCTGGACGTGGATCTGGGTCTCTCAGTGCCTATCTTAGTGATTCAGAAGAGCACCAAAACCACCAGGGACTTAGCAGCAGCATGTCACGCCATCCCTGTGGGGTGGAGAAGCTCTCATGGACTTGGCCCGGTGACTCCAGCTGCAGTGGGAACACGCGATGCTGATGCTGGTGTAGGACCAGAGGCCCCGTCTGCTGGAGCCATTGCGTGACTCTCTTGCCCTGAAGGCTGGCTGTGTTTGCTGATAAGGCCCGCAATAAGCAAAGGCAGATATAAAGAAAGAACAGTGGGAATTTTTTTTCTTCCCTTTGGAGATGAGTGTTTTATGGCCGGGGGGCAGATAAGGAGATTAATATTAACATTACTGAGGTGAAACAGCCCCTTGCTGGTGGAAGGTCTCCCTGAGATACATTTATCAAGGGCTGATTGCCTCCCCTGGGGACACTGCTGCCAGTCTCCATCACGTACAGCCTAGAGACCTGGGAGAAAAAGTCACCCCAGTGCAGGATGGAGAAGGGGAAGGGAAGAGGCTCGAGGGGAGAGAAGTGGGCAGATGGTTATCCTTCCCCACGCAGCCCTTCTCTTCATGCTGTCAGAGGCAAAATGCCCCACTTTATAAAGCCCCATCTTCATTTGGCATCTCTCCCTCCCCCTGATGCCAATGCAGACATCCCATGCAGCTGCGGAAGACCTTTCCGGGCAGCTTGCACAGGCAGGAGGACCCCCTGAGACCTTGGTCTGATGTCCCTGCATGCACAGGTCTCCTTGGACATCCTGGCCCATTCAACAGCCTAGTGACCCCAGGTGAGGTCCCATTTTTCTTGCTGGGGATGCTGCAATCAAACTGTCCCTTCAGTCCCAGCCACCCCAATCCCAAGCCCAGGCATCCTGCCTGCTCCTGGACAATACGGTTGGAACATCAAAGCTGAGCAGGGTCCTTCACCAGAAGTTTTCTTTGCCGGGTGTCTTGGCAGACCCCAGCATGCAGGGAGAAGAGCAGCAAGCATGGCCCGAGCATCAAACGACGTACCCCAGCTCTGCACTGCTCTTTGCTCTGGAGCACCCCCAGATCCACCCACCCACCCAGGGACCCTCTGCAAGGAAGGGACCAGAGCACCCTGCTCCTTTTGGGGGTGCAGGATCTCACCTCTTCACCTGCTCCTCTTCCCCGTTGCCTCCTGATAAACAAATCCATCAATCATTGTCATGAAAGCCCCAGTTGCTCACAGTAGGTAAGGGACTCCAGCTTCCCTATCTTTCCCCTAACGATCTTTCTCAGTTAAGCCCTCCAATTGCTCCCCAGGTAGCTTGCAAGTGCTGTGATTTCGTTACTGGAACCAGGGTGGTGATAAGCCGGGGAGCTTTTATCACCCCACAGCCAATTGCTTTTATTGTAGGTTTTAAAATGAGTCAGCAGACCAGCCATGGCAGCTGGGCTTCAGCTCTGCTTCCAAAGGGAGGGACGGTCCCAGCTCCCTCATTCCCACCAGGAAAGGTCCAGGCAGCCACACACCTTCTCCCTTGAGCCGAGACACCCGCCTGGTGCCAGCATTTGGCATGGTGGCACCTCCTCGCCAGGAAAGCCTGTACCCAGCCTCGACACGGGCTAGAGGAACCACTCGTGGCTCTTCCTCCCAGATGGAAGGAAGAAGGGAGTTGCTCCAACACTTAATGGCCCTCCTTGTTAAAAGTGCATCCTGTATTTCTAACTTCTTGCCTTTGGCTGTTTGTTTATTCTCCCATGAGATCTGTTATCAGGAATCATCTCCCCATGGGGATTAACTCTTGGGTGTCTCCCTTTTGCTGCTTGTCCCCAACACTGGTGACAGTCCCTGGACAACAAAAATATCATCTCTTGATGCCCTAGACCTTAAAATAAAGCTCTGAATCACACCTTAAACTCCGTATTTCTGAGCGATGTGTGCTTTCTTTCTGTCAGTGGTTTTGGGGACACTCCCATCTGAGCTGGTGGCAGCTGATCCTCTAAGCGTGGTGGGCTTTGCCTCAGCATCCCGCTTGCCCCACTTGCACCATCAGGCCTTGGGAGCTCTTTCCCATGGAGAAGGAAACCCCCAAACACCATCTTTCTCCTTGCAGCTCCATTTCTGGGACAAAGCTGGGCTCCCCCATGCCTTGAACCCCAGGAGCAGCTGCTGCTTCATAGCACAGGTAACGGCTGGTTTCTGCCTTTTGGGGGAGAAAATCTCTGCTCAGCCTCTAACACTGAGCAGCTTCTGGGGTGCTGGAGCTGGTGGGACCTTCCTCTGGTGAAGTTTCCTTCTGTGGTAGGTTGGAGAAGATGTTGGTCCTCTGCTTGACCCAGGCTGGACCTGTGGATGGAGGAGAGCTCAAGATGGCAGAACTGGACATGTTAAACCTGGTAAGTGGCTCTGCCCCTATTTTGTGAGGGCTCCCAAATCAGTATGAACCTTTCTTCCTCCTCCCACCCTTCACCTCCATCTTCTCTCTGGAAAGGAGACAGTGTTTGGGCTGATTGATTGCCCCATGTCATTAGAGGTACAAGGTACTTGTTAATCAGAGAACATGAAAGCGGGTAAGGATGGAGTTTGTCCCCTGGTTATGAAGGGAACAACGGAGATGCAGAGATAACCGATCCCTGCATGCAAAATGCTGCCAGAGAAAAGCTCCAGGCTCCCGGGAATGGCCTCAAACCTGGCTGTCCCCCCACTCTGGCATGGCCATGGGCATGATTTTCCATGGGGGGAAGGAAAAGAGGGGAAAGATGGGGAGCAGCCCTGGAGCCACATCCTCACGGAGCCAGGGGCCACCAGGTCCCACAAGCACTGACAGCATGAGCCAAAAGCCTGTGGGATTTTGGGTGCTCCTCAAACCCAGCCTCGGCAGCAGGATGCAGGCTGGACAGACAGGATGCATCCAGGGCTGGCAGTCACCTCTATGTCCCCAAAGCTGGTGCTGGGTCTGCCAGTGGCAGGGTAGCACAGGCTACCGCGGAGCAAGGGTAGATCTGGGCAGGTCACACAGGGGGACAGGCTCTCATCTCTCCCCATAGACCCCCCCCACTAATTGGCCCCGTAATAAAGGGTGCCAGTTG